GAGAGAGAGAGAGAGAGAGAGAGAGAGAGAGAGAGAGAGAGAGAGAGAGAGAGAGAGAGAGAGAGAGAGAGAGAGAGAGAGAGATGGGTTTGTTGTTGGAATAGGAAGAAAACTGGGCGCATGCAAACTGCCTCTCCAGGGACGGTTAAGGGAGCAGATACAAGAAGAAGCATCACAATTGAGTAGCAGAGGTACATGCACTCAGAAGCACACACCATGGAAATAGACGGGAGGACGAGCCGGATAGAGCAAGCGATTGAAAAGGAATGGTAGCAGCTCAGCAGAAAGGGTGTGAAGGTTAGAAGAGGGAAAGAAACAGGAATAGATAGTGATCCAATAGGTTAAGAGGCAGAGAGGGGTACCTATGCGTGGACCTCGCCAACGATTATTATTGTGCCTTCTCTTCATCTTCTGGTAACCTTGTATTTCCCACGAAAGCCTCTAAACGCGTTGAGGCACATTGAAGGCGAGTAGCCTCCTCTAAACCGGTCCCTCTTCTAAGGACCGAGTAACGTGAAAGTGCCCTCCACAATTCATCATCATCGTTGTCATCATCATCATCATCGTCATCATCGCCATCGTCATCGACGTCATTGACGTGAGATTGCTGTCTGCACCCCTCTATCGCATAAACAACGTCAGGGGACTCCGCTGCAATCTGACGATACACTCTAAGGGCATACTCACAATTGGCCTTTCCTAGATGTATCTGAGCCTTAGAAGCCCAGATGCATTTCAAATACGCCCCACTGAGTATCGCCTAACTGACAAGGCTTGTTTCCCAACCTCGCGCCTTCGCGAGCAGAGCATGCCTTCTCCGCTGCGGATCTCACAAACAGAAACACGGGTATGAGTAACACATGATGCGTACATAACCCCTCACACCCCTGCCCTTCTCTTTGCCGTGCCCATTTCGTCCCCAAAAAAATACTCACAAGCGAATACACAACTGCCATGTGGCAGAAATTCTACAGGAGAAGAATGCCCAGGCTGTGAATTTCCTTTTCCCTACCATCAACCATTCACAATGAGGAAATATGATCTGAGTTGTGGATAGAACAATCTGTCAAATCGGTCTTTGACAATTTACCTTCTCTTTGTCTGGAAATCCCAGCATCGGAAACCTGCAACTGAATGACTACCCTTTCGTAGTACCTGTGCAATTCCAAATCCAATGGTTAAGAGGAATCAACAGACTTAAATAAGAGACATCATCATCTCATAACATCACCTCCCTTCTCCATTCTTTACACTATATCAAGCATATCTCTCCCTGCGGGCGGTGGAGGATCGTCGGAGTTCCATCTATTGTCGGTTCCGGGCGCTGCAGCCTGTGGGGTACCGGAATGCGGTTCGCCGCTGGCGTTGGGTGCTCTGATGGCACCAGAACCCTGTGGGGATTCTGCTGAGCTAGCAGTTGGCGTGTCCTGTGAAACGATCTCTTTCTTGCAGAGAGGGCATATAGCGTTGATCTTCAACCACGTGTCGACACACGGCACATGGAAATGGTGCTCGCATGGCAGCAATCGTAACTCCACTCCCTCCGTGTACCTCCCCAAGCAGATGCAACACATCTGCGAGGGGAAACAAACCAAAGGGCAAAAAAAAATGAAACGTGGTCAGGAATCGCCATCTGCCAGTCAAGAGCGAAAGTGCAATTCTAGAACAAAACAAACACCTGCCTTCCACCAAGACCAAGAAAAGACGATCAAATTGCAATTCTCATGCCGAAACTTGAGATTCGAAATAAAGGACGATGGAATAACAGAAAAGAATATACACAAACGTGCACAGGCATTGCAGAGATGTAGACCTGTCTCTTATACACATCTAGATGTGTATAAGAGACAGGATGTAGACCGTGAAGCAGATGAAAACAAGCACGGAATGAGAAATTGGGCCTCGCTCCACTGCACAACATTCGACATGTATCTGGTCCAGAATATACACAAACGTGCACAGGCATTGCAGAGATGTAGACCGTGAACAGCAGATGAAAACAAGCACGGAATGAGAAATTGGGCCTCACTCCACTGCAGAACATTCGACATGTATCTGGTCCAATCTGGACACGTGTATCTGGTTTCGAAGCATTCGAAATGTTTACTCAGCCCGAATGTTATCTGGTCCAACTGCGGGTCCCCAAAAAACATGTAGAATGTTCAGTACCGGAGCGAGGCTCGTTCATTGTCGGGAATGAAGGCACAATACCGTCATGCGACCTTCATCAATTTAAAACATGACAGAATGTATTCGCCGCATCCAATTACAAAAGCAAAAGCATTGGCGGCCCTGGTTTCCAGCCGAATACACTATTCACATGCCATTCAGGTAGCCATAACAGGGGACGGCGGGCCCACTGCGTGTGGCTATGCGGAGGGCTAATGCTGCCTGTATTCAGAACTGGCATTTGGGAGTTGCGGGGGATGGGGGGAGGGCACTCTGTATGGCTATGTAAAGGGCTGACGCTGCCCATTTTTGTTGATTTTTTTTTTTTTTTTTTTTTTGAAAAGATCCATGTTTGTAGTAGAGGGTGGGTGCTAGGCCTCGGGAGGTGCCTGTCGTCGTACTCAACCAGTGAGGGGATCAGATGGCTTGCGTCAACCCCAGGGACTGTCTTTTTTGTCCTCCAGGGGGGGTCATTCGTGACCTGTTATATCCCAATTTTATCGCAAGTCGAGCCCTATAGCGGTGCAACCCAGACCTCTCTATCTAGACCTAGACCTACACCAACCCGCACCTTCCGAGGAGCCACAGACGCCCCGGGTGCTACCATAGGAACACCCTGAATCCTCGAGGACGACCCGGATACAGGCTAGGTGAACCTGTATCACATCATGCAGACTCTATGGGTAGCAAGTCACCCTTCTACATATGAAGGGACAACCCTCCCTCCCCTGCCTAAGATGACACCCTAACCTAGGAACCCTTCCCCAGACTCACGCCCCAACCGAACCCTCAATGGGAACTCAGACGGGTACCAACCCAGATGAAGCCCAGCCCACAAGCACTGTAAGATCAACCTGAAGCCCGCCCGTGGGAGTCGTACATGCCTAACACCCAACCACTACCACTACTCAAGGTTGTGTGGAGAGAGCAGGGTCTACCTGGGACACAGGATCGTAGAATATAGGTATGAACTTTCGTGGGTGGACTATGAGGCCGGGAAACAACCATGGTACCCAGACACGCTCAGTCTCTTCCACAGAGCAGCCCATACCAACGAGGCGGCGCACTCGGACAGGCCCACAGACCGTACACAAGGTCCTATCTACCCATCCCCCCTCCAACCTATCAATCTACCCAATACCCCCCCTTACCCACGGTGAGTACAAAAGCCATGACCTGGAGATCATCAGACCATACTCAACAAACAACCAACTGTAATGACCCGCCGAAAACACAGACTGAGAACACTGCTGATTTCTGGGATTTGCCGCTGGAATGAATGCCTTGCTGAGATTCCCACATTCTGCTGTGATTTCCATGTCTGTGTGTGTGTGCGTGCCTGCTGGTTTGCATGCCTGTCTGAGTGCTTGTCGGCTGAGTGTGTGTGCGACCCGCAAAGGTACTTGTTGGTTGAAAGGCCCCGCAGGGCCGGTACTTACCTGTGGCCGTGACTTCGAGGGTTGCAGCGGGGAAAACACTCAAGTAGCGGGGGTAGGCCCGCGACACAGAGGGGAAAAACACTCAAGCAGCAGGTAGGCCGGTACCACTGAAGTAGTGGTAGAAGTGTCGGGTACTGGAGACCGAGCAGAAGAAGACAAAAAGTTGGCATTTTTAGAGGGCCAGTAGCGGTAGGCTAGAGGTAGGCCGGTACCAGTCCAAGTAGCCCGGGTCTAGGGCCTGTCCGGAGGATAGCAGAGCCTGCAATGATGTTTCCCTCCGAAAGGGAGGAGGTACCGGTTGCTGAGAGGCCGCTCGGCCTAGGAAGTCACCGCCCAAGAGGCCAGTAGGCCGCTATATCTTCCGGAGGAGCAAGTAGCTCCTCCTCATTTGCGGTGCGCAAGGATTGGCGACATGCTGCTCGAGCACAGCGCTGGACTGGTACAGCGCTGCTTGGAGGTGAAGGGCAGCTGGGCGCTCAGCCTGGCTATGGCGAGCAGCCCAGCCTGAGGAGGAGGAAGAAGGGGGCGAAGGAGGAGAGTGGCGAGGAACCTGCCTGGCTATGGTGGACACCATCTTCATCACCTTGTTGGGCGCTGCATCTGGAAGGCCCCAGTTGGGGTAGTGCCGCACCAAGGAAACTCAAGGCAGAGTCAGGCATGGCGGTTCAGTCAGCAGCGGCATAGCTGCTTTGGGTTGTCCTTTGGACAGGAGTGCAGCGCCATAGCTGCTTTGGGCTGTCCTTTGGACAGGAGGGCAGGGCCCTCAGTAGTCCGCCATAGCCTAGGCATGTGAGAGGAGGAAGGAGGAGGGAAGCCATAGCTATGGTGGACTTGTTGTTGTTGTTGTTGTTGTTGAGTCAGCAGTAAGAGGGTTCGGATATTGATTCTGGTTCATCCACTCATTGTTATTATTATTATTGGGAGAAGAATAAGATTGGTGAAGTGAAGGAGGAGGAGGCAGGTGGAGAGAGAAGAGGGGATTTGTCATTGGTCTTGCTGGTGTACATCTTCTTCTTCACAATTGGGTGGCATTGTATTTCATTGTGAATTTGCACTTTGGGAATGACCAGGATCGTAACACAACACATAAACACTCACTCAACACTCATCAGACCCCCACAGGTCAACACTCAACACTCATCAGACCCCCACAGGTCAAACCACTCAAACAGCCCTTCCCCCAAAGCCCACTTCCTGCATACTGCAACCATGGACCTAACCCCTTGGGTGGTGCGCAGGCAGTGTCTGTATAAGTACCATGCGTCAGCCCAAGGGGGGTGTGCGAATGGCTGGACGCTATGAGAGCGCGTAAAGGCGGACGTGCGTGAGACTTTCATCGATTTCACGTGCTGTGTGTTGTTTTTGTTGAGTTCCGGATACACTTAAACAAAGAACAGTACTGGCAACGTATCCTGCATAAATACAAGGAGGAGGTATAGCCAATGCGGGATCTTGTAGTACAGGGTTGAATTCTTTTCACGGATCAGTGCTTAAACCGCCACCGCCTTCACCTGAATAGAACGCCGGGTCATTATAGCTGTATTTGGCACAACTTTCAGCCCAGATACGGCGATAATTATGGGGCATTCTATTCACGTGAAGACGGGAGTACCTTTGCCGTTCCGTTTCGGCAAGTTTTACCCTATTCCCGAACTTTTAGGAGGCCCGGCCCGACAACGGTTGTAGTTGATAAATCTGATCGGCAGCCGTCGTTTCGTTTCGGCCTCCTCAAAGGGGTCAGAGGCCCACTCACTATTTTCCGAACCGACAAAGGTCCTAGTGGTTTAAAAAGGAAATTCGCCTGTGGTCAGAATTAGCACTTGGCAGCGTGTGAGAGCATGTGATTGACAATTTCTGATCCGGCGTTGGTGCGCATTGGGAGTGTCCAACCCATGTGAACTAATCCATTCCGCACAACGAGGACCTCCAACTGTCATGTGCATTTGTACTGGCCTTCCAGCCTGTGGAATCACCACCAAGGCAAATCATGTGCTTCATGAACAGCATTCGCACATTGTTAAGGATCCTATCGCGTGGCAGGTTAGTGTACATTGTCATATACTCCGCTGTGTCGCATAGAGCCTCGAAGGGAATGTGCATTTTGTGTGAGATCCAAAATGACCTCCCCACCACTTTGCGTGCTCCAGCAGTGTCGAATGCCACTTTCTTGACAAAGCTCATTGTCCTTACCGCGCAGAGACACGATCGAGCCTTAGAGAGTGTAGATAAGCGTGCGAGAGGCCATTGTTATACTTGCGAGAGGCTAATGAGGGCCCTGTTATGCAGGTCCGCAACTGAAGGGCGGCGGGTCATTGAGTGACGTACAGATTAGGAATTCACTGAGTGACTCCAAGGATCGGACAAAGAACAGAACAGGTGGAGATTTGTGTGCTTTGAGTACGAAGTAGAGGTCAGAGAGGGTATCAGTATGCCGATAGCCACAGCTGCATTGATTAAACACAGTGCATCACCATCCAGGAAGTTGGCCACAGACTCTGAATATCTGACGCATGACAACATCTCGGACTGTCGAGCTGCTGTGATAACTTGCATGTGTACCAACGTTTGCAACAGATTGCCAGGTTGCGCGAGGTTTTTACTAATAGCAAATTGCTGCTATAGCTGCTGAAGAGATGTCTTGGGAGATCGTGAGGCAGCCTGAGTAGGTCCCTGGTACGCAGAACTAAAGAAATTCCATTGGCATCTTGAATGAATTCCTGTGCTCAATCTGCGCAACTGACAGTGACTTCTCCGCAATTGTAGGCTCGTTCGTGGGTGCTGATCTCCTGGTCGCTAAAGAACTCCGCGGCATACTCATCCAGACAGAGTTTTAGTGCTTTCATCACATGGTGATGTTGTCATTGATGCTAGAAGAGAGCCCACAAATGTGTCTTGTATAATAGTGTAGTCTACCATGGCCACGTGACAGTCACCAATATCGGTACAGCACGGAAACGGAAATGCTCGCTTACAAGGGCAATTGCAAGCGTGCGGTCGCAGCATATTGCCCGTTATGTTGAGTGCCACTTCTGTAGAATTACAGAACTAGACACAAAAGGGCGGTTCCATCTTGTCACAGATGTGTATCCCCTGGGCAAGAGCAGGCCGTGGGCGTAATTCAACCTCTGGTAGCAGAGGGCTCCCTGTAATTGTGTGGTGCGACCAACATGATGCTTGTGCATGATCTTAAAGAACTTAGGAACGGAGCCCTATCGTGTGAGGGGCTGGAATACGATTCGCGCCAGTATTGCAGACCAAGGATCATGCACTCCAGTTGGCTGTGAGCACGGCGTTCGAGACATTTGTCTGCAGCCATTGCAGCAAGCGAACGCGCAAGGTGGGTGTGGATTGGGAGAGGGATCATGCACCCGGTTGGCTGTGAGACCGGCGTTCGAGTAATTGTCTGCAGCCATTGTAGCAAGCAAACGCGCAAGGTGGGCGTGGCTTGGGAGAGAGTATGAGATACGGATTGCCATTCTGAATTGGCCACTCGTAGAAGCATGCGATGCAGGGCCGGGCACAGAGCATAGAAAGGGCCTGGGGCAGTGTCAATCATGAAGAACCTAGCACTATGATTTTGTGCTGTGGGGCGAGTCGTGGAGGGAAGATTTGGACAGCCTTGTGAATGAATCCACCTGCTCGAGCAATGAGATCATCTGACAGGCACTAATCGTTCTTGCGGAAGGACGCTGTTGAAGCCCTGAGGGTACGGGCGGTCAGTTGCGGAACCCGAAACCTTTCACGAGGGGTAGCTGCACGCTTGAACAGTTCCCTATCGGCGGAGCCATCGGCATATAGATAAAGATGGGTGTCTATACATTCTAGGGGCCAGACGGCGAAGTGAAAGGGTGGTGGTCTTGCCATGGAGTGATAAAGATGACGGTTACGTCAGTGATCGGTTTGGGATGAGTAGCAGGAGTGCCAATGTTGTTGCAGACACTAGTGAGGAGAATACGTGTTTGCCCATCGTATGTGTGACCAGAGGGTAGGTGAATAATAGCACAAATAAATAACTCCAGGAGCCGAAAGAGCATCGATTCTTGGGTGAATGGGGCTCTGATCAACGGACTGCAGCTGCAACATAGCGCAGTGGGTTTTTAAAGCTTAAACCCCATTGCCCTGCATAATAGAAACGAATATTCCAGTCCTGACGTGCAACCCAGTCCACTCTATTAGTCTGTTGCAGACAGCAGTGATGAGAGGAGAACGAGGGGGGTTACCTTAAAGGGGATCGATCGTAAGGAGAACATGTTGTTGACAGTCGTTCGTGCCGTGCCACTGGCAAGGAAATCCCCGTTCAAATCCCTTTCCTGTTTCTGTATGTGTGTTCTCGTGCATGTATATGTCTGATGTGTGCACACTGCACGGTTATGATAGGGGCATCTGTACAGCAGCTAAAGCTGTCTGGATGGCTGCCTGGAATGCTTCAAATTCCAACATGAACATTTCCCAGAAATTTAAATGAAGTTCAAACACGCCTAGCTCAGGCTGTGCACCAACGAACTGTTGAAATGCAGACCCAAGTTCGAATCCGGATACAATGATTACAATCAGATGACCAGAATAGAATCATTCTGAATTATGTGGGCCAGTCAGCTCAATGATGATATCTCAAGGTCGTCGCCCTTGGGTAAAAAAAAAAAAAGCACAAACACACACACAAAAAAAGGAAGTTCATACATTATGTTCTTAAAAGCCTGAAAAAAAGAAAAGTTGTGCAGCATTGCAATACAAAGTATTACAAACATTTCTGTGGATGACGGTCTCCATAGCCAAGTTTGAGTAGAAAAAGTGGAGTCTAAACGACACTTTGTTTTTCTTTTTTGTGCCGGGTCGTTGGGGAACGCGGGGAAAGGGGGGGGGGTGCGCACCCACCTTATTTACATTTCTTCCCAAAGTTTGAGAGGTATCTGTACCCAAGTCAGGGTCTGGGTTAGAATAGAATCCACATCTTGCTAGTACCCCATGGTTGTGTGTGTGTCGTCGTGTGTGCGTCTGTCAGTAAGGAAATGCAGAGTGACCGACGAAGGGAATTTCAGTTTTCTGCAGACCAAAAGATCAATCCATCCTCATTCCCCCCCCTTTTCCTTCTCCCTTCCTGAGCTGACCACTCTACAGCCACACGCAAGAACAGATCAAGGATAGCCTTTGATCTTTTTTTTGCGTTTTTTTAAGCAACAATCTGGAATCTGATGGGAAAGACAAGATCATAATGTCTTCTTTATGCTGAATGTTATTTCGATAGAGGGCCATTATTAGAGGCCCAAAATCCGCTCAATGCTCTTCTTTGCATTTCACATACACATGAACAGGTCCAATGGGAGAGGAAGAAGCACAGTGATGACAAGGTACTCACTGCATCCTCCGCAGAGACCGGCTTCTTGGCCGAGCTGTCAACGAGGAAGCCACCAGTTATGGGAACACTCTCATTGTCAGAGTCACTATCCTTGCCGGCTTCAATATCCCCCGTTTCACCACGCCCGGCACCTCTACCCTGCTGGCCACTGGTCCTTAAAATAGGCACCTCCTCGGGGTCGGGAGCGCTGGAGTGGAATTTGTAAATTGGAAGCCGTGTGATGGTCTCTTGCGCGGCACCTTTGCCGGCCATTGGTTCCTCCGTATATCCCATTAGGGCTATGATGCAAGGAAGACAGCAGCAGATCGTCGCGCACAAAATGAAAGGCATGGCATACCCTATAAAGCTGAAAACAAGAAATACTAAACAAAGCCTGCATGAATCCTCCCCAACCACAGCAGAAACACATCGGCATGCGCACTTCCGCACATGCATGCACACACAACCACACTCCATACACACAGACAACATATAACATAACCACGTATGCAGACACCCACAGCCATCCACATGGCAGAGTGCATCGGCATGGAGACCTCCGCACGTGCATGCACACACAACCACACTCCATACACACACACAAAGTACGACATAACCATGTATGCAGACCCCTACAGCCACTCACATGGCAGAGTAGAGAAGGCAAACAGAACACAGGGACAAGCAGCAATATACACAATGTGCCCAGAAGTCAGATTGCATGGAATACAGCACATAAGTCGTTCACATGTAACACCACTCTCAACCATTCAAATGAACAAAGTCTCTCTCTCTCTCTCTCTCTCTCTCTCACACACACACACACACACACACACACACACACACACACACACACACACACACACACACACATGTACAGTGGGTTTTATGGCTCTGAGTCTCCGACAGATCAGTTTCTCAGACTTACTGCTCTTCTTGTCAGGGGTTTGGACCGACATCCTGCAGTCTCGAACTTCCCCCGTTCACGCACGGATTCGAACCAGTGCACTCAGCCTCAAGAACTGAGTTTCTTAACCAGCTCGACATTGTGGTAAACCGTAATCATAATCCCAAGCAGGGATGTCTGGCGTGTAGTTGGACTACAGACATGGCACACTGTACAAAAGTGGATCCATACCAGTTCTGATCTCCACCCCACCTATGCATGCCTGTAGTTTCCTTGAACTCTCACACACACACACACACACACACACACACACACACACACACACACACACACACACACACACACAACACTCAGGCATTCGCCACACAGGCAGTTCTCGCTCACTCCGCTACCATCCAGCACAACTGCTTTTCCAACGGGGCTTGACCCACAGGGCCACAGTCCTAGGATTGCAGGGTTGGTGTGAGTAAAGTCGACCACTTTTCTTAGAGGTACTGCTAATTCTGGGCAACACCGTGAGTCCTTGTCCATCAGTCAAATGCATCCACCAGTCAAATGCATCATTCAGTCAAATGCACCCCGGGAAGACTGTTGGAACCTCCCAACGATTCCGTGAAAGTCCGACAAAACAGTCGCCCAGATGTGCTTTCTTTTGTGAATTTGTGCATAGCGAATATGAGAACACACACACACACACACACACACACACACACTCAATCAGTTTATATCTGTCAGTCTTTTTCCTGTTGTCTGTCCTCCATCCGTTTTTTTCTAAGTATTTTTCTTTACACCCAACTGAGCACCCTTAAGTAGTGCCAAACAGTCGGTGGTTCCTCGTTTGGAGTGCCAACTGCACTCTTAGGGGGGCTGCTCGGTTCGGGATGTCTGTGTTGCCTGTTGGTGATGACGGATGGTCGTCGGAGTGACTCCCTGGCTCATTGGGTGGTGGGAACCAACAGTCTGCGGTGTTCACCCGTGATGTGAGTAGGTCATGTGTGGCTTGGCTCTGTGTTGGATGTGTGGGCTGCCTTGTGCTGTCTGCGTTCCACCGTTGTCTTGCTGCCCATCCCCTCTTGCTTTGCGGGTTGTCCAATCTGTGCTGCTGTGTTCGCTTTGTGGCTTGGATGTATTGCTAGCGGTGCCTTGTGCGTCGTTACGCTGCCTCCAGGCTGCCTATTCGGGTGCCTTGCCGTTTGGGTTCCTTTTGTTTGCGGCGTGTTGGATGGTTGTCGTTTTGGTGTTGCCTTGTGCTTCGCCACTCGGGTGCCATGCTGCATGTCCCGTTGCAGTCGTTTTTGGTGTTGGGCAGTTGAGTTGTGCTGCATGTGTTGCCTGGTGCTTCACAACGGCGTAGCTCGCTGCTGTTGTATTCCGCTTTTGGGTCCTTTCGTTTGTGGTGTGTCGGATGGTTCTCGTTTGGGTGTGGGCTTGTGCCCCCCCAAACGGGTGCCATGCTTCATCTCCACTGACGTTGTCTTCCGCTTGCAGCCGTCTTTGGTGTTGCGCAGTATACTGGCGTTGAGTGTGTTGCCTGGTGCTTCACAACGGCGTCACTCACTGCTGCTGTGTTCCGTTTGTGGGCAACCTGCCTTCAACAGGGGTCAAAGGTTTCATGACCTAACGCATCCAAAGCTGGGGATGCCGCAGATTGTCGAGTGTTCAGCCTCCTGATGAGTCGGTCCAATTCCGACGAAACAATCTTGTTGTCATCATTTTCTATTTTTTTCGGTCCTTTGACTTTCTTGGGACTTGTATTTTTTTCGGTTTGCCTGTTTCCGTCAGTGCTAGTTGTTTCTCAGTTCACTGTCTTTGCCTCGTCTTATTGTGTTTTTGTGCCCGCCTGCCTCCCCCGTGCCCACCAGCCTATGTGTTTTGTTTTGTTGTTGGTTGTCATCTATGTGCCTCGTACGTCTCCTCAGTGTGCATCCAACCTTGAGTACTGCATCTGTGTCTCCATATACGGATGCATTGATGCCACCCTGTGTATGGATTGTTCTGTGCAAGAGGTGATACAACCACGCTTCTTTGGCAATCGTGAATGCGCACCCGGTTACGCTGCTCGCCGCGTTTGCAAGGTTCTGTTTATCTACACACACACACACACACACACACACACACACACACACACACACACACACAGAATGCTGGGAGAGTAGCTCATGCATAATCCATACATACCGTGTCAGACACAGTGGAACTCTCAGTCATCCAAACCCACAGGCTCTCTCTCTCTCTCTCTCTCTCTCTCTCTCTCTCTCTCTCTCTCTCTCTCTCTCTCTCTCTCTCTCTCTCTCTCTCAAATGGCTTAATTACTTCCCTTGTTCTCAGTTATCACCATATCGTGCTGGTTTTAACTACCCCCAGCCAAACAATAGAGGTTTAAGAGCCAAGGCTCTCTCTCTCTCTCTCTCTCTCTCAAATGCCTTAATTACTTCCCTTGTTCTCAGTTATCATCATACCGTGCTGGTTTTAACTACCCCAAGCCAAACAACAGAGGTTTAAGAGGCAAGGCTGAAAATAGTGGCGGCTTCACATGTGCCATAACACGGCACTACGCTGCACTGATGGAAAGGGCACTTCTAAATAGAAACTGACCCCATGTAACAAGGGGAGTCACCAGATCTCTCTGAAACCCCTGAGCCACCAGTGCGGCACGGCCCAACCGAGACTTGCAGGCTTGAAAATTGAGGCTGTGCTTTTGATGCACCCCCCTGTCTGCGGCCACTTCGGTACAAATAGAGAGCCAAAAATTGAATGGAGGCCGCGCTCCAGTGTACCAGCCATCTGTGGCCGTTCCCGTACATACATACAAGTACAACCTGTTACAACATTCTACTTTATTCTGCACACTGGGGTTTTCAGACACAAAAAGAGTTCGGAATGTTGGCGAGTTGATGAATAACAGCCAGAGAAATGGCGAGCAAGACGGAACATACCAGTAGACACTGTCGGCATGGCCACTTTCGTGGCTACTTCCAAACATCCAGACATTTCCCACAACAAACCAGACTGCAAAGAAGCCATCCAAAAGAATCTTGAACCTTTCGACCAGAAGTACCAGCCTGCAACAAACAACGACCACCTTTTCAGGAAACGATCAGAATCAGTTGCATAAGTATGCAGTTTTATTTCATAACTAGATAAAACGAATCTCATTCCACTCACCCACCACTGCTACCAGTCAACGTGTGGGCCAGGCCTTCTCTTCATCTATTTGAATTAGCCTTCTCTTCATCTATTTGAATTAGCTACGTTACGCTTTCTTTTTCCCTTTGTTTCGCCGGGCTGTGGGCAGTGGGGAAAAAGGAGGAGAAGGGGGAGGGATCATCTTTTCGAATTCACAAAGCAGTACTACCGAAGAGGCTATACATCCCAACTCCTTTCACAAATTTCTGTATTAGTTGATAACAACTGGAACTTTTTAAACTTGTTGCTATGCTACCTTCGCTTCAAATCCATCTACCCAGTTCTCTTTTAGGATTTATCACTTCACGTTCGAGGGAGGTGGGGGAGGTAGACAGCACCGAAGGTCACCGAGATAGAGTCTGATAGGTCACCGATATGGTAGTCCAAAAGTGTCATCCAACAAGATCAAAATGTCGAGGACAATAGGTCACCAATGTCGGAGGTACAGAGTCCAAATGTAACCGGTGTCCGAACTGTGATGCAGCCAAGTATCAACCCCAAC